TAGCTTTTCTTCTGAATCATTTTTCTCACTTTTAATTTTATTATTCGAGTAGTTTTCCCCAGGACTTCTCTTAGTTTCTTCACACTATCTCCCTCTTTACTATTTGATTGATTCCTTTTTGGGAAATGTCCCCCATGTCTTTTTGTGCCACTGTAAATCCCAGTGAAATCATCTAACTGCTTTTTATTTTGAGTTCCTTTTCCTTCAGTATTATTTCCTTGTTCTTTATTTATGCTCTCTTTTACCTCCTTCTCTCCTATTTCATGTTCTGTGTGCTCCAGCTGGATTTCTGTCTTTTTATTGCCTTTTAAAGTTTCACACATGTTTTTTCTCAAATAATTCATCATACATCCACAGCTCCTTATTGCCAATTTAACAAATTTAACATTTTTTTAAGACCTTTAAATTATATCACATTAAATTAGAACTTAAAGTCCATACAGTCTCTTTTTATTTTCAGATTCTAATGTCCAATTCTAATATTAGTCCAATCCAATCCAAGTCAAAAATTTATTATCTTCCACAGCTGTAGAAAATCAAAACCAAGCAATGTAAAAAAACCCACTCCTTAGAAGTTCTCACAGTTCCAAGTTATCTTTTCTGGTAGTCAAGACCAAGTTTCCCAACTGCACTTCCTCTTCCACAGAGTATTGCAATACTCTCTTCCCACAACAGATGGCTCTTTCAAATCCACAATACATTCAAACCAGCTGATTGTCAAAACTGTCAAAAACACTTTAAATCCACATTTTTTGAAAAAAGAAACCTTTCTCTGGGTTTTTTCCTTTCATTATTTTTAGTTTCTCCAAATCCAATTGTAAAATCAAGAATCTTCTTGGGCTTTGGTGTTTTAGCCTCCACTTTGTCCTTCTCCCTCCATGAAATTGCCCAATGCTAATTAGTCGCTAATTTTAGCTCTGGGATACCTTTTAATGTCCAAATTCAAAGTTTTCTTTTACTTGTGAATTGGCCAATCACTCACCCAGTTCCAAAACTCCATCCCAACACTGCTTCTGCACAAAAACTTAGTCCAGTTGCCCCAGCTTCAGAGTGGTCATTTAGAAATGGCTGCATCCTCTGCCATTGGTCTGAAGAGCTGTCTCTGGCCTGACAAGGAACTTGCCTGTAGTTCCTCTTGGTAGTCTGAGATGCCGCTTCTTCTTCACTGTTCCCTACAGGACAGTTTTGGTCCAAAGACACCCCCCAACAGCTTTTTTTCCAGCTGGATTTTCATGGAGTTCATCGGCGGCTGCTATTTTTCCAGGCAGTCTTGTCGCGATGCTTCTGGTTTATCCCTGATGTGGCTCAAGATTGACTCAGACTTCCATCCTTCTGAGGTTGGTAAAATGAGGACTCGGATAGTTGGGGCAATAGGCTGATGTTGAAAACTGCCCAGAGAGTGCTTTAAAGCACTATGGAATGGTATAGAAGTCTAAGTGCTATTGCTATTTCTGGAGATAGAGATAAAATACAAGAGAAAGAGCAAAAAGAGAAAATTCATGTTTTTATATCAACTTGCCCAATTCACACCTTCTGTAACTATACATAAACTAGAATGCATTTACATACTGAAATCCATGTTTTGAAACACTTTACAATGTGATACATGTGATTCACAAATGCAAGTGAGAGACAGAGAAAGAGAGGGGGGGAGGAAAGAAGGAAGGAAGGTCATTCATTGCAGAATGAAGTCAGCTTCATTGATGGTCATGGTCCATAATCTACCAGATGTGCTAGGAGCTTGGAGAGGGTGAAAACAGCCTCCCCCGCCCCCCCTGGAGGCCCTCTGGAGGCTTTAGGAGTCAGGGTTGCCTGCAGGGACATTTTTCACTCTCCAGAGCCTTCAGGGAAGCCTCCGGAGGGCGAAAAATGGCTGGAGAAAGAAGGCCGAAGTCAGCTGGCCAGCATGCACATGTGTGGTGGAGCTGTCAGGGCAATCCTGGCATGCCCTAACAAATGTCTCCACGTGCCACTTGTGGCACACATGCCATAAGTTTGCCATCATGGCTCTATACTACACTGGCATTTTGTAACAGGGGATAACTGTTTCCCAAAATGTGAAAGCAATAGAGACAGTGCAAAAAGTGCACATTAATTTTAATGGGACGTTATTTAATCCAGTATGCAATCAAGAAAATAAGAAATTCTGTCAAACAAAATTGACAGCCCTGCCCATGCATAGCACCTTTGGTGGACTACAAAAAAGAGGATCTTGTTTAAAACTTTCTTTCCCTTTTGTGTTGGCTTATCCTAAATAACCCAGCTATGAATTTGAAGACCCAAAAGTGCTTTGGATTACATGAGGCCAAGAAGGCAGCATCTGCCTGGAGCTTTTTAAGTCATCTGTATCTTTTATCAGGATTGTTCTGTTGCCCTTTTACGGTTGCAGTGACATCCCAAGAAAGGCACCTTTGACTTAAGAAGTTGCAAACAAGTGCTACCCATGTGCCTTTGACCACTCTGGAGCAACTTTTTTTCTCTTTCAATCTGAAAAGCTGACCAACCTTAATAAATAAGCTTCTGAATTTTGCGATCTATTGGACCTGAAATATTTTCAGCTCGGAAGCCTCATTCCTGACCTTGGCCAATGGCAAACACAACATTTACAGAAAAAGACAATATCTTGGCTGCTGAACATAACCTTTTCAAGAAGCAGTGAAGGTTAGGGTTAGACCTCTGCATCACTGCATGTCAGGGAACATGTCTGTGTCTGTGGTTTGGAGATGGTTGCATAGCCGTTGCATTGAATCTTTCTTCCTAGTTTTCTTCCACAGGAAGTAGTAGCAATAATAGGCCAATAGACCAAATTTTAATAACCTTCAGCTCTCAGAACTTTTATTTGTAGCACTGATGGTAACAACTGATAATAGACATTTAGTTCTGGTTGATAGATACATGCTAAAGTGCACAGTAATAGAGACACAGTGGCTAAGATGCTGAGCTTGTCAATCAAAAGGGCAGGCAGTTTGGCGGTTCGAATCCAGGGTTGGGTTTCAACCGGTTCGCACCGGTCCCTGCGATCCGGTTGGTCGCCGAACCCGGAAGTAAGTAACTTCCGGGAACGGCGAAGGCCCCCCCCC